CTTTCCACAACCGGGGGGGACCGTGAGGTGGGAGCCGGGCTGGCGTGCAGGTAGGACACCATCCTGCTCCTCTCTGCCCGGCGACGGGTCAGCGGGTCCCCGGCCGCGTGCGTCCCACAGCAGCAGCGCCGGGCAGCTGCCCAGCAGTGCCCGAGAGCCGCCGGCAGCGGGTGCCTCTGCAAGGTCCCAGAGCCTCCGTGCCTCCTGGGCAGCGCAGCTTTCCCTGGGATAGTCCCAAGGTTTTTCCTGCAAAAGTCCTCCCCACGCCTGTGGGGCATCAGGGGCTTTCCCTGGGCTCCGGTTTTGTTCCCCCCACTTCCCCTTGCGGGATTTGGTTTGCGTTTCCTTCCCCAAGCCCCACTGCCCTCAGCCTGGGACTGGGCCCGTGGCCGAAGGCAGCTCGGGGCCGGGGCTGGAGCCTACGGGCTCCCTGCACCGCTTCCCCTCGCTGCCTCACACCCACCTTCCAGCAGTGACAAAAAGAGCAACCAAAACCAGCCAGGGGGGAATTCCTCTGTTCTTGCTTCTTTAAAAAACAGCCCCTGAATACGCTGGATTTCTACTGAAACTGTAACGGTGCGGTTTCTGTTTTTGAAAGAGCTTCTGCGTCCGCTCCCCACAGCTGCGTGTTTCTCTTGCTGGCCTCCCTGCTCACGGGCAGCACGGGAAGGTGCCTGGGGCTGGCTGCCATCCCCACGCTGGTGCACTGCCGCAGACCCCCTCGCTTGAGATGGAGGCAGAGGTAGCTGCCTTATCCCAGGCTTCCTCAGCATGCGTGCTGGAAGGAAAAGCTGCCTTTCCCCACGGCTCAGAGACACCCCAGCCCTCGGGACCAGCCTGCTGCGTGCCCAGGAGACCTTGGGTCAGGCTGTTGCTGAACAGGGCAGTGGGAGTGGGGGCAATTGGCTAAAAAAGATGGCAATGAGTCACAGAATGGCTGTTTTTGTGCAATAGGGGAAAAAGCTGTAAGGAAATGAGAGTGCTTCAGCCTTCCGCCCTCCATCAAATCTCTGGACCAATGTGGAAATTTGTCCTCTGCACCGACAGCGCAAGCAAACGCCTCAGAAAGCCTCTGTGGGCTTTCTCACGACGGCTTTTTTGTGCCAGCCCCTTCAACCTCGGCAGAGCAAGCCGTCTTGGAAGTGCCTGGAGCGCAAGAGCAGCCCTGGCAAAGTTGCTGCAGCCCTCGGAGAGAGGCCCCTGCCTGGCTGGCGAGGCACGAGGGCTTTGGGGCTGGTTCTTTGCAAACTGTTTTCTCGGAAGGAAAAGAGAAGAGAAACTTTGGAGACCGCGCAGGGAAAGCGGCGAGAACAGAGCGGACAGCCTGAGTCTACACGCTGGCTTGCAAGGGCGGCCGGCCACCAGCCCCCTCCCTTCTCCTCCCCCGCGCCTGCCGCGCTGCTCCGCGCGGGGTTTGGCAATGCCGGGGGCTCTGCAGCACCGCTCTTGGAAACACGCCGGGAATATTCGCGCGGGCCAGTGCCTGGGGAGGGGAAAGGTGTTTGCGCGGGTGCAGCCCCTCGCCGGGGCGGCCGCGGTGCGGTGCTCCCCGCTGCCAGGAGGAGCGGGAGGAGGAGAGCCGCTTGCAGGAGTCATCAGAGCCGAATGTCCTCCGTGCGTTAGGCTGTGACTTAATTCGGGACAACGCGAGCATCCGGGATTTCCAGGGTGTCGGAGGGACCGGCTGTGCTCTCGGCTATGGAGGCCAAAGCACGTGGTCTACGGCTTTCTGTCAAACTCATCTGCGTTTCGCTGAAAGGAGAGCCCTGGCTGCTGGTGGAGTGGGAGGGG